AAGAACACTCCTGGGTGAAGCTGGTTGCGCTGTATTTTCTGTTAGCAAAATATACTACATTGTTTAAAAGAACATTTTTAGTGGCATTTTTTGGTGGTATTTGTAGGTACTCAACATGTCCAAAACGGCCTCTTCTTGTTCAGTGTGCAATTGCACAAATAAGTGACAATGGTACTGGAATATAAAAATAATGTAATGCTTTTTTAAGAAGGGGTAAAATTTAATTTTGTATATCTAAAGCCCTATATTCACGTTAAAGATTTCATGCAGATTGGATGAACAGAAAACGTGTCAGTCCAGACTGCACGATTTCTGCATGAAAACTTTTGAGCGTGTTCGTAATTTTTCATGCAGAAAGCTTACAGTTTGACTCAAGAACTACTAGCTGCAGAATCATTCACTAATGGATTTGTTTACCAGTCATGACAGTAATTCAGCCATTTTGATTTTGTTGTTAGATGCATCAAGGTACGTTTGTGTGACAAGATATTGTGATAAACTAGCTCCTTCCCTAATCCTCCTTTATTATTTTTCTTCTCTATGGTCTTCATGGTTAATTAATACTTACTAAATATCACACAGCCGCAACAGAAATATCACAACTGAAAGTACTCTAACATTGCAATTCAGCTGTTACCCAGTAGACCCCCTAGATGCATCTTGTGGCGATTCATGCAGAATTCATGCAGAAAACGTACAGTGTGAGCGACTTTTGACTTTTAAACTTCCAGTTTGGGATCTTGAAGTTTCTGAACAGAAACTGTATGAGAATACACGAAAATTATACCGTGTATATTGGGCTTAAGAATATCTTAAAAAATTAATTCAGCAGTTGTTTAATTTCAATTATGTTTCCACATTTTATTACTGACAGTCTCACGGCACTTGTAAAGGTTATTACATTGAACATTAGGGATCTTACATTGAAATGTTTAAAATAGACTCACCATAGAAAACTACGCTAAATTCAGTCATCAAAGAGAATTTACAAAACTGAATAAAGCTTAAGACACCTCATTGTATTCAACCAAATATCAGAAACAATTGATCAAATTTTGTGAAAATTGTAATTTTCTCAATGACATATAATTCAAACTTTTCTGTGTGCATGTGTGAATTGTACTCAATCTGTTTGTATGTATACGATCTACAAATTGCAATAAATCTGTTATTGTATCTAATCTGTTTGTTTTAAGTATAAACAATCTATTTATATTATTAATGGTAACTCAATGTACAAGTATTAAGACACGAAAGTACTTAGATATCGATGCAACTATAAATAAATGAAAAGTTTATTAATCATTTGTTTTATATCATCTTTGAAACTGGTTTGGCGTCAAATAATTTTTAACCACAATATTTTCACAGAGATATGAATTTAATTTAAAGTTTTAATAATAAATATTAATAATCAGAACCATGCAACGTGAAAGATAAATATTCTGAAATGAAGAGTTACCAAGAACACAATGCAGCAATTTAATTTGTAATACAAACTTAAAACTTCATTCTTTGGATTTATCTGGACTCCAAAATGTTTTAAATTTTACATTTGTTCTAACAGAACTTTCTCCTACTGATAATTTTGTGCATATTCTAAAGTAACCCGTAGGAAACATGATGGCTATCCTTTCAAAAAGCACCATTGTATGTTGGTACATTGTCACTATACATTTCTATCTCACTGAACTAACCAGATAAACTTGGCAAGACTAATGGCTAGATTTTCAAGAAAAGATACTTGTTCAACATTAGTAATCTAATGAATCATTCTCTTTCTAATATTGTTACCTTTAAATCTTTGGAGTGCATGTGCTCTGTGTGCGCCCGCTCCTCCACAAGTTTCAACTGCTCCTGGAGGCCCTGGGAAACTTCCCGCTGAGTACTTAGCTGCTCCTCCAATTCCGCCAGCCGCTTCCTCTCCGCAGCCAGTTGCTGGAGAAGGTCAGCCACCGATCTCTGCAAGTAAAGTCCCAGATTATACCACCTATTGTCATCTAATGCAGTAAAAATGAACAATCGGAGGGGAGAGAGGATGAACAAAAAATAACTTATACAAATGATAATTAAAAAAATGAGAGAAAAGCAAATAAGCAATATTCCTTAATGTTCCTTATCTATAGTGTTTAATGTTAACTTTCTGTAGATAGAAAAATTGTTAAGAGATTATTAGAATAATGGTAATACCAATTTGCTTCGCTGATCTACCAGCTGGTGCCGCAAGACCAGTTAAAAATTAATTACTGTGAGTCATATAGAATTTTGCTTTGAAAAGAAGTAACCATTCATGGTTTGTTAGGTTTGCATTACTGCAACAATTACATAATGCTGAAATGGAATCCTCCCTTATGTGTGAGTTAATGACATACAGGTTACTTAACGGTTGGGTATAATTTGAGGTATTTGAGAAACCAATAGACAGTGACATCATATGATTAAAGACATAACCAAACACCGAATGTAGCAAATCTGTGTTGCACTGTGGCAAACTGGCAAATTTCTGAAAATCCAGAACTTTTTGATAAGTAATATGTTGAGAAGCACGAAGCTTTTAGTATGTCATCAACATTTTGTTTAAATCAAGAACAAAATTGAATGTTTTGTAATTTCCTTGAGTAGTCCAAAAAATCATGAAGAATTACAAAATGCATAGATAATAATCATGTGGTATAGAAAATGTACACCTGTAGTCATAGTAGTCATAGTAATAATAATAATAATAATAATAATAATAATAATAATAATAATAATAAAATGTTAGACATGTTGAATCTGGCATCATTTTCTATATTTAGAAACTTGATTTGAATGTTAAAAATAAATATTAAAATCAAAATAATCCAAATACTGATAACTTAAATTATTTTAGGTTGCAACTAGTTTTTTTTGATAATAGTTTTCAAAAATCGCTGATAGGAAAATGCAACAGAGAAAAATGGTTTTAAAAGACCCTATGTAGGGGAAACAACAACATATTCTTAAGTCAATATGAACCCCCTCCCCTTTTTTTTGAAAACACATTATTCTTACAATTAAGAAAACAATACTGAACTCTGTGTTTCTTAACAAAGAACTTTTTTCAATTCTTATTAGACCTAAAAGTGGTCAAGCATTTGAAGGTTTTGATTGTCGCATTCTATATTCTGGTCTATTCAATTGCTATATAATTTTTCATATATATTTAAAGTTATTGTTATTATTATAAAAATACTGAAACATTTGCAATGGAATACATTTGTAGCAAACACAACAAACATATAGTAACAGTTACAATATCAATTATACAAACCTCATAGTCCTCCATTTCTAAGCTCAACACGCTGCGTTTCTTGCACTCCTGGCGACTTGCTTCCAGCATTTCTTGCATTGCTTTATGTTTCTCTCCTTCTTCAGTCAGACGATGTTCCAGCTTTCTCATGTCTTCCTGATGATGACTGACCTCGGCCTGCAGTAAAAACACAACTTTAATATGGTCATCATTATAAGATTTTTGATTTTTAATTGCTATTTATCATTACCTTCTTATGTAAACAAATTTTCAAAAATTATTCAGAAATGTTTATGGTTTATAAATGAAGAAATGGGTTTTCTAGACTAAAGCTATGTTCACTTTTGATCTAAAAATGTGTGATCTTATGACGATTAACATGTAAGGGAACTTTTGGCACGTGTGGAACACTAGGTGCATAAGCAGATCGTGAGGGGAAAATGTAGGATACATGTGGGGATGCATGCATGAAAAAGTGAGAGAAACATGTGGCAAACATCCTGGAAATGTGTGAAAGGGAGTGTGACTAAGTGAGCAGGAGAGCGAGTGTGTGTTTTGAGTATGGAAATACTTTGCATGCTACTTGTGCTGATTCTGAGTATATGTATTGAAAGCTTCTTGTTTATTCCTTTATGTACACATGTATTTGTATTAAAAATTAAATAAAAAAGTGTGTGTTAAAACTCCTGCACATTTGTGTTCTGTACTTGCTCTGATAATGTGTATGTATTAAAAAGCAGTGGACACTAAATTAGCACATACTTTCTTGCATCACTAACAATTACGGAAATAATAATAATAATATTGCAATATTTTACCCTATTAAAAAATGTCAAATATCGCTTGAAAAACTCGTTGCCAAATTTAGTGAAATACGAGCGAAAACTTAAGTTAATACATCAACGCAAAATTGGCAATCCAAAATACCATTCCATTCACTCACAAATACCCAACCTGCCCAATAATGAAAAGTTATTCTGAGAATTTCAAACTGTCATGTTGTGGCATTCCCAATGTTGCAATGCAACCAGGTAACTTCTGAAAGATTGAAGCAAAATTGAGGAAAGTCTGAGTCTGCAATTTCAAAAATTTGCAAAATTATGCCAAACTACATGCCCTTTTTTTAAAATACTGATTGTTTTAGATCAGATTTCACTCAACAAAAAAATCTCTTTTATTGATATTATATTTTTACAATGTTCAATTTTTTGTCATTTGCAATTTTCAAAAAAACACTGTTCACCAAACATGGAAAAAGCTTTTGAAAAACTCTACATAACTATTTCAGTCTGCCTTCAAGCAAAATATTTTATTAAGAAAAAATCTGTCTTAACTATTGTAGTTGTAGGGAGAAGCGAAAAAAAAATTTTTCATTTGCAATTTTCAACAACCTTTGAAAAGTTTGAAACTTTTTGAAATTTTGCATTTTTCCTTGACAAAAGTGACCAGGCCACTTTCTTTACTGTTCTTTCCTACATATGAGAGGCAGGAGATCATAGAAAAAAATTGGAGTCGTTCCTGAAAAAAAAATTGTTTAAAATTGCCTGCTTCATGCAAAATTGAACAAAACCTACTAATTTATTCCAAAAATTGTATATAGTCTTATTTCAAGTTGCTAGTATTGACCACATATATGGATGAAGACATTTTGCTGACATTCAATTTTTTAGTATCAAGGACCCACTACACATGGGTTCCTGGCTACACAACATGTTAGAAGAAGTAATTTATTACAAATAGAAATAAGATTTATCTCCTTTTTGTTACCTCAGCCCGGATTTTTGTCCCTACAGCATAACAATAATTTCTCTAGGCTATGCTTCCAGTCCATGAGAAAGTAAAAGCAATAAAGAACATTCAAGTTAGAAACAAGGAGGAAAAAAAGAAGTAGAAAAAAATAAAAAAGAACAATTTTTTGTCTGGAAACTGGAAGTTCCATTATAAAAATAAAGTTAGTGATGAAAGTAAAAAAAGAAATACAAAACAACAACATATTACATTTGTTATTTTCTTACTGTGTTATGTATCATTAGATTATGTTTTCAGCTAGAACTCATTTCAAATACATTTGATATGATCTTCATAGAAAAGAATTAATCAAATGAAATCCTTGCAACAATAAGTCAAAAAAGACAAACTGAAGACAATGCTACGTACACAGAAGTAAACAATGACAAAATACATCCGAGAGCTTAAGACAATACCCTATAATTTTTGAAAGAAGCATTTGGAAAAAAATTCTTGTCTCGTCTTAAGATAAATCTGGAAATTGATAAGAAAAATGAGGAGGACCTTCAGCCGTGACGTGTTGGCTGCTTCAGCATCGCGCTCCTTCCTTGCCGTGGTCAACTGCCGTTCAAGGGAGGAGCGCTCTTCAGAGGCAGCCTGCAGCGCCTGCTCCAACTGCTGGCGCCTGCCCACGGCCTCCTGCAGCTGTGACTGGAGTGTGGCCACCTCCGCGCGGCTGGCCTCCAGGTCCCTCTGCTGGCTCTTGCCTTCCTTCTTTTGCTGCTCCAGGGCATCTTGCAAGCGGTCACACTCTGCTTGTACGGTCTGAAAACAAAATGCTGTTATAAAGCAAACTGCAAAGCATTACGTGCCATTTAAATAGTAGTGTTTGGTTATAAATTTTAATTCATTTGTTGCAAATCAAATTGTATTGTTTGCTGCAGAGAAAACTGTTAATAAATGTAATCTTAGATGTAAAAATTAAAAATTCAGTGTTTTTCAAACAGTTGAAACACTATTCTTTTGTCTGTATGATAGTTTTTTCCTAATTATAGAATGCAGAAGTTTAGGAATGTGAGTTTTGAGGAGATACAAGAGATTTTTAAACATCTTTGACCTGCAACAGTAACACATCCTCGTACTGTGCACAAAGGCATACAAAAAGCAGAAAATTCCCAGTCTGGCAATACCCAAATTTTCTTCCAATTTCTGTACAATTTTTCACTTACTTTAATTACACAACACTAGAAAGGCAGCAATGCTACTATTCTACCTATAGTGACAGAGAGCAGCCAAAATGACTGCTTCAAACATGTCATGTCTTATAATACATTTTAGGGTAATGTAAAACATTTTTTGAAGTACATATATTTAATTATTTTGGCCTACAATTAAAACAGACTACTACTTTTTTCATATCACCACATATGCCTAGAACTATTTGTCCCCACCTAGAACAAGAGTCATTGGACTTACTGTTTTAAAAATATTCCAGCTGGCACTGTCAACACTTCATCCCTTAAATGTTTGTACTCTGCGACAAGTAAAGTTTTGAGTCATTAGCAGTAGTATAGTTCTTCAGCCAAGTTTAATAAAAATGACTGCTGGGATGGATTGTTTCCAATACCTTTTTGTACAGAATCCAGGAATTGTTTCCTGCTAAATTGACGATACTATAAAATATTTGGGCAGTTCAAGTCTGGTTGAAGATTTGACAGAGACCGCTTTTTTAATTGCATTTAAAACAAGCAATCATTTTGACTGCTACCCATACTTGAAGGTAAACCATGAAGAATTAGCTATTATCTCAAAAACTAAGATATCTAAAATAATTATATTTCTACATTTTATGAAAATCCACAAATATTAAAAGTCATGAAATATTACAAAAATAAATCAATAAATATTGACACACAAGAAAACTAAAACTTGAAAACAGTAAAAATGAAAGCTCCCGTCATTCTAGTATTAAAGCAGGTGATTTTCTATATATTGAACAGTTTGCGTTTTCAATTTTAACTTTTTGGAAATTCACTCACCATTTGTTTCCTAATAAAGACCTTACAAATATTTTTTCATTTTAGCAAAGTATGTATACCTGTAGGTTCTTGGCATGAGCAGAAGCTTGACTGAGACGAGATTGCAGATCGGAACGGTCAGTGAGCAACTGTCGGCGCTCTGCATCAGCTGCTGTTGCCTGGGCCATCAGCTCTGCAACGCGCTTCTTCAGCCTCACCGCCACAGTCCGCAGCTACTGGCGCCCACAACAGACACACCCTAAGTGACAGCCTCTCCACACACCACTTGCCTCCCCTCGACCCGGGGACCGAGCAAAATAAATACAAAAACCTCACAACACAAATAAATTGTCCTCCTTTGCCAAATCCATGTCTTGGTTGTGTACTTAATTCGTAACTGAATTCGCTTGCAAAATATTCGATAAATTAATTTTTTTACGAAACATTTGTCTCGAAATTTCACAGTTGGTCGTTGCCTTTTATCCCTTTGGTCTGGAGCTTGACCCTGTTTGGAATCAGGGTTCCTAGAAAGTCATCCATTCAGGAATACATGGTGCCCCAAGTTACTTCAATTCTGTGACTTCATGGAGCGTAGTTTAGCCATTTGGCTATCAACAACTGGTTAGTACAAGCAAAATATTGACAACTTGTACCATAATCAGATATCTGTCATAACACATACACCTGAACCATTCTATATGAGGAAAACTAAAAAGGTAGATAATACTTTAATCCAAAAACAAAAAAGTTTGCTATTCCAAACAACTTATTTTAATAAGTGCAAACAAGTATATATTATATTATATTTTTAATTGAAATCCAAGATATCATAACAAATTTTTCCAAAGCTATCTGATGTACTTTAAATAGGGTAGATCCACAGGTCCATCATCAACTAATTTTTTTAAACAGACGTTTATTAATTACAAAGCCTTGAATTAAAAATCTTGAAAATCTGAATACACAAAAGTGTAATATGTTTATCTTAACAATTAACCAATTTATAGTTTGTTAGTTGACATTTTAATAAACTACATGCATTTTGAAGTAAAATCTGAAAGTAGGAGTGTGTAGAATGCATTAAAAACTATAAGTTTTCAAAATTCTTTTCACCAGTAGATAATATGCGTTTTGATTAGTTGCTCCTCAAATAGTGTGGAAGGGTCGCATCATTGAAGAGGTGCTGCTAATAACCACAGCAACAGTAATATCTGATCACTAGCTTCAATTACAAAGAAATATTTCACAGTGTGTTACAGCAACACCAATAATTTGAAATCTCCTTGATTACCAGAGTAGTGAAATCAGTAGTGGGGGTAAAGGGGTGGAGTTATGACATGTCTGCTCACTAGTCGAACACCACTTTCTGTAGAAGTGAAGATTCAAGGGCTGTGCCATCTCTGAATGGGTTTTGGATAACCTCTAAAAGCCCTTGTTGGACACAGAGAGTGTCTAACACAGAGTCTACAATCAGAGTGAGTAGCAGCCTTCCTTTCTACTCACTCTTCTAAAAATCTTTCACTACAGTCTGATCTTTGCTTTTCAAAGCCCAAATAAAGTTAAAACTTGGATTCCTCCAAGAGCAACTTACCTTGGTGTAGCGATCTTCAAAGCTCTCCTCAACGTCCTTTAGACGAGAGGCTTCATCGGTCTTGCTAAGGGTGCTTGTGCTCATTACTTCACTCTGGCCCTCCCCTGAAGAGAAAAGGAGATTGTCAGAAAGAAATAAAAGAAAGGAAAATGAAAAAGAAGATCTCAAAATACAATTTCAGTGAACTACTAGGCATCTGTTTAAAAAGCAATGACATACACAAATAAATGCTGTTTTGGGGCAAGAGAAAATGTTAAACTGCACAAAAAAGTCTTTCCATAACCAAACTCTCACTAGCAGTTGTACAAAAAAGTGAAAACTCAAAACCTATGATGATTTATATTTAAATTCTTGAACAATAATACAAAGTAAACAATACAATTATATTGCAAAATCTTGTAGATTTCTTAATTTTTTGAATATGTAATTTATTAGTCATAATTTATATGGGTCATAAGATGTGAAATCAGATCAATGCACAAAGCACACAGCAAGAGCTACTCCATTTATTGAAAAACTAATTATAAAAAACAAGTATTTTTCCATATTTTATAATTTTTAGTAGTTGAGGGTGAAAATATTTTTGTTTTGTTTGTAGATTTAAGTTCAGCTTATTCAAATTTCTTGAAGGGATTCAAAAGAAAGATAATGTTACAGAATGGAGAAGTGATGATGACTCACCAGTCTCGACACTCTGAAGTTTTGTTCGCAGAGCATTCACCTCCTCCTCTGCCTCTTGCAAGCGACGCTCACGCAGCTGGAGTTCCTCGCATGTGGTGGCCAGTTTGTCTTCAGTGGAAAGAAGACGTGCTTCCAGGTCACGTCCTGCTTCCTGAAGCTTGGAAATGGCCTCCCCTCGCTGCTTCAGTACCTTGTTAAAGGCAGACATACAAAAATACATGTACAAATCTTCAAAATTTGACACAAATTACGACTATTCTAAAGAATATACAAATCTGTATTCAATATCATATAATAATGACTTCAAGTAAGAAAAAGGAAACAAGAGTATTTAAATCGTTGAAGAGGGACATATCACTATAAAATAATGAAACACATACTTGGTTCATTTCATTCATTTCTGTTAGCAGTTCCTGGCTGCGGGTGTTCTCTGCTTGAACCACATGTTCCAGCCAACTATTTAAAGACACTTCTGAACTTTTCACCTTTGATTGTGTCTGTTCTTTAAAACCTTGAATGTCAGTGACAAGCAATTCCTGTTTGGATCTTAAATCACACAAAATCACAGTCAGGTTGTCAGCACCAATACGTAATGCCTGCAGTTTGCCACTTAAGGTTTCTTTGGCTGCCATTTCATCCTAAATACAAAACAATTGTCATTAACACTGTGAATTGAAAGAATAAAAAAAGGCAGGTTGATTATGAACAATTATCTTTTATGTTCACTACTAACTAGGCCAAACTTCATGTAACCTTTCAATGCTTGCATAAGCATCAGTTTGTTAATTATCTCAAAATTTTTCCTTTTTCCACTTAACAACTCTGTAATTATCATAAACAACATTTCAAATTAGAAAAACTATTCAATGTTTAATTGGTTTTGCAGTTCAAAAATAATCTGAAGGCTTATGAATATTTGAAAGGATCAACAGTGGTGCCTAGTAAGGGAGGGGTGAGAGAAACAGAGCCTTTGCGACCACAAATATGTGGCGAGGCATCTGAACTGTCTCAACAACTCACATAAATTATTAACTGAAAAGATTCTCATACACACTGCATTATGGGTTTTTCTCCCACTACTGCTTGCTAACAGAACACTTCCCAAAAGAGAAGTGACATTCTGGGTACAACGATTGCTTAACCTCCGACATACTGAAGATTATGCAATTCTTGTTGATGCATGTATTCCTTTTCATGCACATAATTTTTACTTTCTGGTATACATACTATAAATGGAGTAATGTACAAAGTAAAGAGATAGTTACTTAATGCTGTGAAAAAATGTACTTGGAGATTTTAATAGAAATACACAAATCGAGGTCCCTTGACAATGAAAAAATGTTTTCTTTTAAAAATGTCCTTTCCAATC